GCCAAGAAGAAGCTCAGCGCCGTCGTCCGCCAGGAGCGCGGCTGCACCTACTACAAGTAGGCCATCCCCAAGCTCAATCCCCCGCCCCGTTCGACGCGGGCGGGGCACGGCACCCCCCAAGCATAAGTCCCTCGGAGCCGGTACGGGTGCACCACGGCGAAGAGGGCTCGGCGACGATGAGAGGGCTCGGCGACGATTTCTATGGCAATTTCTTGCGTACGCCTCCGCCGACGCGCCCACGGCCAAGCCCTCCGACGCGCCCACGGCCAAGCCCTCCGCGAGTCCCACGGCCAAGCCCTCCGACGCGCCCACGGCCAAGCCCTCCGACGCGCCCACGGCCAAGCCCTCCGCGAGTCCCACGACCGCCCCGACGAATCTCTCGCTAGACGCCGGCGAATTCGGAGAAGGCGACGGTTCCTTCACGGAGGTCGCGGAGCGAGGCTGCTCCAAGCACACGAAGAAGAAGCGGTGCAACCGCAAGCGCAAGTGCGTGTGGATCGGCGGCTCGCACGAGTGCCTCGCGGACTGCGAGGTCCTCACCAAGGAATCGCGGTGCCGCAAAAAGCGGAATTGCGTCTACAAGAAGGGCGCGTGCCGGTTCAAGAAGGCCTGCGCCTACAAGATCTCGCACGGCAAGTGCAAGAAGGCCTCGAAGTGCCGCGTGAAGAAATTCGCGGGCGCCGAGAAGTTCGACGCGCACGGCCAGAAGATGTGGCTCTGCGAGCACCGCGAGAAGGCGAACTAGGCGGCGCGCCCCTCGTACCTCGCCACAAAGAGAAGCGCCGACAAGGCGCGCTTCTCCCCGCGGCCCGCCGCGGCGCGAAAGCCACGCGCCGCCGCCGCCGCCGCGCCGGAGCCCCCCGAAGGGACATGTTCATAAATGGCGCGGCTGCACGTACTACAAGTAGGCCACCTCCAAGCCCCTTCCCCCGCCCCGTTCGAAGCGGGCGGGGCATGGCATCCCCCAAGCAAGTCCCTCGGAGCCTCCTTGCCCTGGCCGTGACGGGTCGCGCGGCGGCTGCGATCTCGATGTCGAGCCGAGGTTCGCTCAGCCCCTTGGTCCGTTGAGGCCGTCTGTGATCGAAGATCAGCCCGGCTCGACCCCCGGGGGGCTGAGGTCGCTCGCTCAAAAAAAGCCGCAAGACTTTTTGCAGGTGCGTCGGCCAAGTCGAGCTTCATCATGGACCCCTTCGCCTCGACCGAGGAGAAGACGGCGTATCAAGACCAACGGACCCGCCGCCGCCTCGCCACGGGCTTCGCCACCGTCGTCGCGATCTGGCTCGGCGCCTTCGTCGGCGCCGCGGCGATGGATCGCGCGCACGACGACGCCCCCAGGCTCCACGAAACCGGCATGGCCGAGGACGCCCCCCCCCGGGTCGTCAACGCCTTCCGCGTCGCCAACGCCCTCGAGGCCGCGAGCGGGCGCCCCATCGGGTCGCCCGCGCCGCGCGCCGCGTTCTTCGTCGACGTCGCGCGGCCGTCGACGTTCTCGCACGACGACGGCGCGACGCGGCTCTGGCCTGTGTGGATTCCAAATCTTCAACCCGACTTCAATGTGAGCGTAATCGAACGGTTCGGACCAGACTCTTTCGCTGTGCTTCGAGAACTCGACGGGAGCAATCGATTCGTCCAAAAATCAGCCGAATCGACGTCGATTTGACCGAGATAGAGCGTTCTGAAGTTTGGTGGGGGCCCCCCAAACCAGTGGTTGATTTCCACACAGGCTCTGGCGGCTCGAGGGCGTCCACGACAGCGCGGGCCCGACGGCGGAGATCTGGATCCGCGACCCCGGTCCCCACACCGTGCGCGCCAAGGCCGACGGCGGCGCCTGGGAGGCGGTCGACGTCGTCGCCAAGGTCGTGCGACGGGAATTGCGGAGCCTCAGCGGCGACGAGCGCGCGGCCTACTTCGGCGCGCTGCGCGCGCTCTACGCCACGGACGACGCTTTGGGCCGGCGGCTCTACGGGGACGACTTCCGGAGCGCGGACTGGTTCGTGCGGGAGCACCTCTACGGCGCCGCGGACCGGTCGTGCGACCACTGGCACGACGACCTCGGCATCTTGAACCACCACGTGGGCATCACCTGGCAGCTCGAGAAGGCGCTCCGGAGCGTCGACGGAACCACGGCGGCCCACTACTGGGACTACAGCGCCGACGCGGCGGCCTACGGGTCCGCGGGCGCCGCGTGGGCCGCGAGCGCGATCTTCGGCGCCGACTGGTTCGGCGCGGCGTCGCCCGGCCGCGACGACCACGTCCTCGACGCCGGGGCCTGGGCCTACACGCCCGTCCGGTCGAACGCGGCGTCCTACAGCAACGTCACGAACGCCCACGGTCTCCTGCGGAGCCCCTGGAACACGAACGCGGTCCCGTTCCTCGCGCGGTACCGCTACGTGCTGGGCAACGACGGCGGCGGCTTCGCGCTGCCGTCCTGCGCGGACTTCGTGCCCTTCCTCAACGACCCGGCCGTGTCCCTGGGGTCCATCGCGTCGGGCCTCAACGGCGGCCTCCACGGCCCCGTCCACATCATGGTCGGCGGCCACTGGGGCTTCGACGAGGCCAAGTGGGCGTCGTACTTGGCGGACTACGCGCCCTTCTCGCCGTCCCAGGTGCTCCTCTTTTCCAAGTTCGCCTGGCGCGCGGGCTTCGTGACGTGCCCGCGCGCGTGCGCCGCGGACGCGCCCCCGGAGGCGTGCAGATGCAGCTGCCCCGACGCCGCGGCCGCGGCGGGCGACGACGCGAAGGCCCTCGAGGTCCTGGACGCGATGAAGTTCCGCGCGCACGCGCTGCCCTTCAGCGACGCGTTCGCGGACGCGGCGCTCGAGGCGGGCGCGGCGACGGACGACGGCGCCTTCTTCGGCGCCCACGGCCTCTCCGCGTCGGACATCCTGGACCTCGTCTGCGCCGTCGGCTTTCCCGGCGAGCTCTTCACGTCCGCGGCGCCCCAGGACCCGCTCTTCTGGCCGCTCCACGGCCTCGCGGAGCGTTTTTTACAGTACGCGCGCGTGCTCGACGCCCTGGGCGCCATCGACCTCGACGAGGCCTGGCGCTACAAGCACCGGAAGAACGTCGCGTCGGACACGGGCGTCGTCTGCGACTGGTCGACGGGGTCGCCGGCGTGCGCCGCCGCGACGTGCCCGGGCCACCGCGAGGACGATCTGTTGCCCTTCGAAGGCCTCTTCCCGGGCCAGGTCGGCCTCGTGTCGAACCGCGACTTCTACGACCGCTCGTCGCCCCTCGACGGCGACCTCGACTACGTCTACGACACGCTCGACGACTGGCCGGGCTGCGCGGGGGGCACGCCCCTCCTCCCGGCGTCCGACGACGACGACCGGGGGCCGCCGGCGTAGGCCCCGTATCGACCTTCCAGTGTGCTGGGCTCGACCGCCGCGGGGACGACCGCGGTTCCGCGGCTTACTACGCGGCCCGGCCGCGCGCGGGCGATCCGGCGCTCGCGGGGGCCGCTCACCAGTCGCCGTAGCGGTAGTCGTCCCAGGCGCCCGGGCTGTGGAAGAGCCAGAAGGAAGGGAAGACCTTCTCGCCCTCGAGGGTCTCGAGGCGCTCGACGAGGTCCATGGTCTCCATGCCGCCGTGGCCGTGGCGGTCGAGGTACTCGAGGACGTCCTGCTTGTGGCTGTTGAGCCGCGCGTGCCACCGCATCTCGGAGACGTAGTGCTCGACGTTGTGGATCTGCATGTAGTCGTACTCGTCGTCCTCCGGCGGCGCCGACGGCTCGAAGGTGTGGCAGCGGAACTTCTTCAATTCCGGCTCCAGCCGCTTCAGCTCGGCTTCCGCGTCGCGCCAGCTCAGCTGCGGCACCGTCTCGTTGGAGCTCACGTCGTGCCACGCGCCGGGGAACCCGAGGTTGTCGCCGATGGCCACGAGCTCGCCGTAGAGCGCGTCGTCCTCCGTGAGCTTCGCGCGCGGCTCCAAGCCGTCCTCGACGGTCGCCGTGTCGTTGAAGTGGCGCGTGAACTGCTCCACGAAGTGCTCGACGACCTCCTTCCGCCACTCCTCGTCGCGCTTCGCCGCCGCCTCCTCGTCGTAGGCCTCGTCGATCCAGCGCTGGTTCGCGTAGCCGTCCAAATCCGTGTCCTCGACGAAGCCGTCGCCGTCCAAATCCCCCGGCAGCTGGTGCTTCTTCCGGAGGAAGGCGTCGCGCTCGACCTTGTCGCGCCGCAGCTCCTCCAGCAGCTCGTCGTGGAGGTGGTCGCGGCGGTCCGTCGCCGCGGACCCGGACGCGAGCATGGGCTGGAGGATCCGGTCCTCGAGGATGAGCCGCATCTCCTCGAACAGCGCGTCGACGGCGCTCTCCACGTAGGGCTTCACGGCGTCGCGGCTCTCGAAGGTGAACGCCTCCGTGCCGATGGCCGCGGCGTCGAGCGCGCGCGTCACGTTCTGCCGGTGCGTCCGCTCGAGCAGCCGCAGCCGCGCGCGGAGTTTCAACGCGATCTCCCGCTCGCGCATGTCGGCCTCGAGGTGCTGCTCGAGCTCCTGGCCCAGCGCCGTGAAGCGGCTGTGCATGTTGTGCTGGCTCAGCCGGAACATGGCGCGCCGCTCCGCGAGCACGGGCGCGATGGCCTTGAGCGCCGCGTCGCTGTTGTAGACGGCGAAGCCCGCGATGGTCAGCAGGAGGCCCACGACGGAGAGCCAGCGGCAGCACGTGTTCCGCTTCACGATGAGCGCCGGCTCCGTCTGGTTCGACCCGCCCTTGGTCCGCTTGAAGCCGCTCAGGCTCTCGAGGTCCTCCATCGCGACTGCGATTCGGCTGCGGAGACGCGCGACGGCGAACGCCGCTTCGAGCTCTGCCGAGGTTGTTGAAGGCTTCACCGACCACGCCGCTTGCGGCGCCTCACACGCCGCATGCGAGGACGCGAGGCGTCGCCGCAGTGCCCTGCGAAGCTGACGAGGCAACAGAGGCTCTCAGTCACCGACGACGGGCGCCGTCGCGCGCAATGCGCCTTAGCCCGGCTGCTCTACCCGGCTGCCGCCCCCCCGGCCACCTAGCGCAGGCCGAAGTGGGCGCCGTGGGCGAGGGCGACGCCGAGCTTCGCGGCGAGGTCGGCGCGGGACGCGTAGGGCGGCAGCGTGAGCGCGTTGAAGCACGTGTGGGCCGTCGGGAGGCGCGCCGGGTCGCCGCGCACGTCGACGGTCACGGTCAGCCTCGGCGCGAGGCGCGCGAAGCCGCCCGGCGGGAGCCGCGCGTAGCCCGTCGCGAAGAGGAGGAGCCGCGCGCGAGCCTCGCCGTCGTACGATTCGACGAGCTCGAAGAACGCCGCCGCGAGCGCCTCGGCCGCGGCGCCGTCCGACGTCGACTTCGTCCAATCCCGCCAACAGCAGCAGCGCGTCGTCGGCGGCGAGGAGCCGGCGGCGGTCGCCGAGCACCGAGTCGACGCCGAGGACGAAGGCCTCGGCCTCGCGCCGCACCGCGCCGAGGAGCACGCGCTCCGCGGTCTCGCGCAGGTAGCGGTCCGCGTTCGCGGCCGTCACGACCTCGTCCTCGCCGCCCTCGTGGAGCGGCTCGCGCGCCGCGCCCGTCCGCAGGTCGTACCAGACGAACCTCAGCGGCCCGTCGACGCCGAGCGCGTCCCGGAGCGCGTCGACGCCGCCGGGCCGGAGCACGCACGCGACGCGCGTCTCGTAGAACTGGGCGTCGAGCGCGCGCGCGTCCGACGCGTCGACGTCCTCGCCCGTGACAAGCTTGGCGACGGACCGCGCGAGGGGCACGCCGAGCGTCGGCGAGGCGCCGCCGTGTTCGCCCATCGTGGACGCGAGCGACCGCGCGCTCCAGGCGACGACGGCGCCGACGAGGCGCCCGAAGGCCATGACGCGCGCGAGGCGCTCGGGCCCCGCGGCGCCGAACTCGAGGCGCTTCTGGAGGCCGACGTCGCGCGCGTCGCCGCCCTCGAGCGCGCCGTAGGCCCCGAGGAGCGCGTCGAGCGGCGGCGCGTCGCCGAGGGCCGCGGCGGCGGCGCCCTCGAGGTCGTCGAGCCACGACTCCGGCGCGCCCGGCGGCGCCGGCGGCGCCAGCACGAGCGTGCCGTCGCGGAGGGGCCGCAGCAGCCCCGCGGGGCCCGCGAGCTCCGCGGCCGCCGCCGAGCAGAAGTCGCGGAGCACGCCGCCCGCGTCCGCGGCCGCCTCGTTCTCAAAGGTCACGTCGCAGCCCGCGAGGAGGTCCGCGCGCGTCGCCTCGAGGATCGCCGCCGCCGCGGACGAGAAGGGCCGCGCGCGCGACGCGCCGCGGACGCGCGCGGGCGACGCGCAGGGGTCGTAGGCGTCGACGTCGAGCGCCGCGTTCAGCGCGCGGCAGCGGTCCAGGATCGTGTCCGGGGAGTTTCGTGTTTGTGTGTCCGAGCGGAGCCGCACCTTGAAGCGGTTCTCGGCCGCCTGGAAGAGCCGCTCGATGGCGGCGGGCGGCGCGGTGCCCAGCGCGCACCACTGCCCGTCGGCCGGACCCGGAGTCGTCGTCTTTGGGGTGTGTGCCGCCGGGCGCCGCGCGAGCCACCACGTCGCCGCCGGGCGCCGCGCGAGCCACCACGTCGCCACAACGCTGGCGAGGGCGACGACCCACCATGGTGGGAGATCCCCGAAAAGGAGCGCGGGCGCGTCGCCGAAGAGTGCGACGGCCCACACGGGGAGCGAGCAGCCCATCGTCGTCGTTCGGAGCAGGCTACTTACGAGCCCGACCGTCGCAAGGGGGGCATCCCATCGTTCGCGGCTGAGAACACGAGAAGGTGCAACGCCGGTGCATCTTTTGTGCATCATCGACTTTTGAGAGAGTGCTTTGCTTGCGGCAAAAAACGCCTCATCTGGAAGAGAGCCTTCTGCTTGCGGCAAGCGCTCCGGTGCGACGCCGCACCGTAGCGATGCGCCGGTACGCGCTGCTCCCGATCGTCGCGGCGTCGCTCCGCACGGCGCCGCCGACGGCGCCGCCGCAGCGGCTCTTCGTCGCCGGCCTGGGCTACTGCGGCCTGCGCGCCGCCCGGGCCTTCCGGGCGGCCTACCCGGCCTGCGCGATCGCCGGGTCCGCGCGGTCCGAGGAGCGCGCCGCGGCGCTGCGGCGCGACCACCCCTGGCTCGACGCGCGCGTCTTCGACCTCGACGACGCCTACCGCGGCCTCGACGGCGCCGGCGAGGCGGCGCTCGGCGCGGCGACGCACGTGGTGTCGACGATGCCGCCCATCGCCGACGGCGACGCGGACCCGCTCCTCGCGCTCCACGGGCTCCCCGACGGGTGCTGGGCCGCGTACCTGTCTACCACGGGCGTCTACCAGGGCAGGACAAGAGAGCGAAATTCCCAACTTCAAAGGCTCCGATCTCGGCCATTTTCCACTCGTTTCGGCTGATTTTTGGACGAGCGATCATCTCTCGGAACGATATCGAAGCGTGGATGTTTTTTCCGTAACGCGCGCGCGCGGAACACTCACGTTGAAGCGACGTTGAATCACTATTGTGCTGCCCAGGCGTCTACGGCGACCACGGCGGCGCCTGGATCGACGAGGCCGCGGAGCTTCGCGGCGCCGGCGCGCGCGAGGCCGCGCGGGTTCGCGCCGAGGCCGCCTACGTCGCCCGCGGGGGCGTCGTCCTGCGCCTCGGCGGCATCTACGGGCCGGGCCGGTCGCTGCTCGACGCGAGCCGCGCGGCGCCGACGCGGCGGGGCGCGCCGGGCAAGCCCGTGAACCGCGTGCTCGTCGACGACGTCTGCGGCGCCCTCGTCGCCCTCGCGGCGGCCGGCGCGCGCGGCGACGTCGTCAACGTCGTCGACGACGACCCGGCGCCGCGCGCGGACGTCGTCGCCTTCGCGCGCGAGCTCACGGGCGCAGGCGAGCTCAGGGCGCGCGAGCCCACGGTCGCCCTGCGCGCGGCGCGCTCCGCGGGCGCCAAGCGGTGCCGCAACGCCAAGCTCCGGGCGATCTACGACCTCGTCGCGCCCACCTACCGGGAGGGGCTCGCGCGGATCCATAGCGGCGTAAGCGCGTGACGGTCCGACTCGCGGTGGTTTTCTTCACGAGTGGCGAGATTAGTGGCGCGCCCATATCTAGTCCCGGCAGGCCTGCGTCACTGGCTGAGGCCTACGATCGGCGCCTTTGAGGGGTTGGAGGCGTCGGTCGACGCCTCGAGCGGTCGGGAGGCGTGTCAGGCGTCGTGTCGGGCCGTCTGGCGCTGAGAAGGAGTCGCCAGATCGCGTTCAAAGGCAAAATGGAGGAGGTCGAGGGCCCGCCGGACGAGATGATGATGAGCGTCGAGTCGCCCCCGGCGCCCGGCGCCCCGGGAGTCCCCGACGACGCCACCGTCGCGAAGACGGCGGCGGAGCTGCTCGACGGCGACGCCGAGGACCGCGAGGTCGCCCAGGCCTACGACGACGGTACGCTGACCCTGCGCGCGCTCACGGCGGCCGTCGCCGCGCGGCTCGGCGCGCCGGCGGACGCCTACGAGGCGCTCAAGCCCGCCGCGCGGCGGGCGCTCCACGACCGCGTGGCGCGCGACGCGCCCGAGCCCGAGCCGGCGATATCGACGCGATCCCGACGGTCGCTCGCGACGAAGTCGTACGCGGAGGACGCGGTCGACGACGACGACGACGACGACGACGAGGAGGAGGAGGAGGAGGAACCGGCGGAGGAGCCCGCGCCCATGGAAGAGGAGGCACCGGCGGAGGAGCCCGCGCCCGCGGCGGAGCCCGCGCCGGCGGAGGCGGCGCCGGCGGCGCCCATGGACGAGGACGCGCCCGCGCCCGAGGCCGCGCCGATGGACGAGGACGAGGAGGAGGACGAAGACGGCGAGCCGGACCCGAACGTGCGCTACCGGCCCCCGGACCGGCCGCGCCTCTCCGAGGACGAGGAAAGGGACCTCGCGAAGCTCGCACCGGTCGTGCTCCGCATCCGCAACGACGCCGAGTACGTCCGCGGGCTCCAGGAGAACACGGAGCTCTGGCTCAAGGCCGCGCACCACGGCAACGTCGAGGCGCTCGTGCGCCTCGGCCTGATTCCGCCCGTCGAAAAGTACACGCCGGAGAACTCGGAGAAGGTCAACGGCGTCACGAAGCTCAAGGTCGACCTCGCCAAGGGCCGCGCGGCGCTGGTCGAGTCCGCGACGGACGGCGACGGCCGGAGCCGCTACGTGCTCGGCCTCTGCCGCCGCGACGGCCTCCTGGGCTTCGACGTCGACTTCGCCGGCGCCGTCGCGGCCTGGCGCGCCGCGGCGGACGCGGGCCACCTCGTCTGCATGCTCCTCGCGGCCGAGGCGCTCGAGCGCGGCGGCGACGGCGTCGACGCGGACCGGCGCGCCGCGTACCACTACTACTGCCGCGCGTCCGAGTACGGCGACGACGAGGCCGAGGCGGGTATCCGGCGCATCGGCGCCGCGGGCGACGCGAAGCTCGAGCGCATCTCGCTCCTCGTCCCCAAGTCCGCCGCCGCGGTGAAGGCCGCCGAGGCCGAGCGCGAGAAGCTCCGGGCCGCGGCCGCCGCCGAGGAGCTCGCGGCCGCGGCCGCGCCGGCGGCGGCCGCGGCGGCGCCGGCGGCGCGCAAGGGGCCGCCGCCCCCGCGCCAGAGCTACTACGAGGTGCCCGCGGCGCGCGACGACGGCGCCGCCGCCGCCGCGCCCGCCGCCGCCGAGGCTTCCGCCGCGCCCGAGGCCGAGGACCACGCGGACGGCGAGGCCGAGTGGCGCACGGAGGGCCCCTACGTGGGCCAGTGGGTCACGCGCGCCGTCATCGGCGACGTGTCGACCCTCAGCGTCGGCCGCGTCGCGGGCTACCTGAGCAAGGACGAGTCGGACTACGAGGACCCCTTCGGCAAGCCCGCGGCGCTCTGGAAGATCGAGTACCTGTCCGGCGCGCTCAAGGGCGACGCCGAGGACCTCGAGGAGTTCCAGGTCATCCAGTCGCACCCGTCCGACGACGTGCCGCCGGGCTTCGAAATGCCGAAGGACGCGTGAGCCGGGCCGGTTAACCTAGCGCGCGCTCACGGGGCCGCCGCGTCGTCGTCGTCCCCGAAGCCGAGGCGCTTCTTCAGCGTCACGAGCGCCGCGGGCATCGTCGTCGCGCCCGCGCCCGCCGCGCCGCCGAGCGCGACGCGCGGGAGGAGCACGCGCGCGCCGAGGCCGCCGACGGCGGCGAGGCCGCCCGCGCGCGTGAGGCCCGTGACGTTGAGGCCGTAGAGGAGACCACCGGTAAAGCCCGTGCCCGCCTACCAAGTGCGACGGGGTCGGATTTCTTCACATCTTCAGGCGAAATTCACGCGAAAAAACACTCCTGTCGCTCGACGCTGGTGCCCGCCGGCAGGTTGAACGCGAGCACGTCGCCGACGTCGCGGCCGATGGCCGCGAGGTCGCTCGACGAGACCTCGCCGTCGCCGTCGCGGTCGAGCTTGCGCGTGTAGTCGCGCTCGACCTTGCGCCAGTCGACGTCGACGTAGCCGAGGTAGCTCAGGCCCTGGAGCATGATGAAGCCGCTGCCGACGCCGACGGCGGCGACGCGGCCGACGAGCTTGAGCGTGTAGCCCGACGCGTAGCCGAGCGTGCTGCCCATCAATGCCTGGGACGTGAAGGGCAGCACGGTCTCCGTGAAGACGTCCTTGTCCAGCTCGGCCCTCGCCGCGGCGTCGAGGGCGTCGAGGCGCGCCTTCATGGCCGCGAGCTGCTCGTCCCGGGCCGCGAGCTCCGCCTCGAGCCGCCGCCGCTCCCGCGACGCGCCTAATCCCATGCGCGAAGGCCGCCCGTTCGGCCGGGGTGACGATGCCGTGAAACTTTCTCCAGCCGGGCAGCACCTCGCGCGGCTCGACAACGGCAGCGCCGCCGCCCGGCGCCCGGCCGCCATGGACAACGTGCTGCCCGAGTTCAAGCGCATCGACGCGTCCGGGAGCAAGCAGCTCAGCCACCTCCACTGGGACACGACGCGGGCGCTCAAGGAGCCGAGCGGCGACTACTACAAGCCCGATGGGTCCGAGCTCGTCGCCGAGCCCAAGCCGCCGAAGCCGGCGCCCGTGCCGCCCCAGACCAAGACCATCTCCACGGCCCTGGCCCCGACGAAGGAGCGGCCCATCTGCGACCGCGAGCGCGGCGACGCGCGGCGGGACCGCATCGAGCGGCCCGCGGCCGAGGAGAAGCAGGCCAAGGCCATCGCCGCGCCCCGCGAGGAGACGTCGCTGCGCGTTTATAATGATGTCGAGGACGACGGCGAGCTCTACTTGTCGCGCGACGACAACACGCGGCGCATCCGCATCGTGCCCCTGCCCCGGGGCGCGTCGCGGACCGTGAGGCTCGAGACGGGCGCCGTCGAGGACAAGACGGCCGAGCCCGTGCGCGGCGACGTCACGGTCGCGCTGTCGACCATGGCGCGGCTCCAGCGCGTCGACGACGACGAGGCGAGCCACGCGTCCCACACGACGGCGACGTCCGCCGGCGGCGCGGACCCCTTCGCGGAGGCGCGTCCGCCCGCCGCGGCGCCGAGCGCGCGCGTCGCGCGCCACGCGTTCCGCGCGGACGAGCCCCTGGGCATGGAGCTCGAGTTCGACAGCGGTGGCGACCGCATCCTCGTGCACCGGGTCCACGCCGGGTCCCAGGCGACGGCCTGCGTGGCGCTCGAGGACGGCATGGTCCTGGCGTCGCTGAACGGCGCGCCCTGCCGGAACCTGGACGAGTTCGAGAGCCTCTTCCTCCCGGCGCGCGCCGCGGGCGGGCCCATCGTCATCGAGTTCGAGGCGCGGCGCGGGGACCGCGCGGGCGCGCCCGCGCCCGCGCCGCCGGAGGAGGACGCCACGTTCCTCACGGGCGGCGACGACGGCCGCGTCGCGGGCCGCGTGGCCCCGCGGCCGCCGTCGCCGGATGTGGCCTGGCCCGCCGTGACGCGCGACCTGCTCCGGATCCTGGAGCCGCCGTCGGGCGAGCAGCGCAAGGCCTGCAGGGTCCAGGTCCACAACGGGTCCGCGCGAACCCTCGAGCTCCGGTGCAGCGACGGCGCGCGCGGCGGCCTGCGGAGGCGCGCGACGATCCCGCCTTTCGGCGCCATCGTCGAGGCGGCGACGACCATGGAGCACTGGCTCCTCGTCTTCGCGGGGCCCGGCGAGGCGCCGCCGGCGCCGGACGCGCCCGCGCTCGGCGTCCGCGTCGGCGGCGGCGCGGTGCAGTCGACGCACGGCTACAGCCTCATCTGGCAGTCCGCGGACCGCGTGCTGAGCTTCGTGCCCCGCGCGGGCGTCGCGCGCCACTTCCCGACGAAGCTGAGGCCCGAGGCGCGGTCCGCGGACACGCGCGCGCGCCAGGCCGCGCTCGACGAGGTCCACGCGGCGCGCGCCGCCGTCGCCGAGGGCTCCAACTGCGCCATCACGGTCATGTAACAGTCCGCGCCGACGACGCCCGCTTTTCGGAACGCTGCTTTAGACGGGACGCTCACATGGGCCCCTCGGAGACGACGACGGTCGCGGGCCGGATGAGGCGGTCGCCGACCTTCATGCCGTACTGGAACACCTTCTGGACGTGGTCCGCGGGGATCTCGTCGTCGGGCGCGGTCATGCAGGCCTCGTGGATCGCCGGGTCGAAGGCCGCGCCGACCTCGTCGATCTTCACGGCGCCGAGCTCCTCGAAGGCGCCCGCGAGCGCCGCGGCGACGTCCGTCGCGTAGCGATCCGCGATCGCGGCGACGCCCGGCGCGTCGTCGCGCGGCACGGCGAGCGCGCGGTCGAAGTTGTCCGTGACGCCCAGCAGCTGGTCGAGGACGGCGACGCGCTCCACGGTCTCGGCCATCTTCCGCGCGTCCTGCGTGCGCTTCTTCACCGCGTCGAACTCCTTCTTCATGCCCTCGATCTGCCCGCCCCACTCGGCCCACGCGTCCTCGCGCTGCGCCTCCACGGCGGCGATGTCGTCGTCGATGGTACCGAGCTCCTTCTCCAACACCTCGAGCTTCTTCGCGAGGAAGACGGGCGAGTTCGTGATGTCGTCGTTGTCGCCGCCGCCGGCCTCGGCCTTGTGCTGCCAGGGCATGCGCACGTGGACCGGGGCCGTCGGGCGGAGGGCGCCGCGCGACACGCGGCTCGGCCGCCAGCCCGTCGGCGCGTAGGCCGACGCGATGGCCGCCGTCGCGAGGAGCACCTTCATCATCGTCGAGCTTCTCCCGCGCCGCCTCGCTACCTCAAGTGCGGCAGTACGAAGGCGTTGCCGGCATAGTGCAGCGCGCGCCACCCCTGCCACCGCTCCTCAGCCGTCGCGTTGATTTTTCTACCCGGGCGTTCTCGAAGCCTCGGCCCCTGAAGCGCCCCGAAACCAAGGGGCGCGTACAGCGACGTCGATGGCGCCGAGATCCGTGGTGCCGGATTTGTCCGTAAACGTACGTGGGACCACACTCTAGGAGCGACCTCTAGGGCGCATGCAACAAGCCCGGGGGTCCTAGAGGCCGAGGCCCGCGGCCGCGCGGGGCGGCACGCCGCGCGGCATGTGGCGGTCCAGCAGCGTCCCCGCGAGCGCGACCTTGCGCTTCCAGTTCGCCTGGCGGCTGAAGAGCAGGAACGCGAAGATGACGCCGCCGCCGGACGCCGCGAGGTGCTCGCCCGCGCCCGGCAGGTCCAGCGCGCCGACGACGTCGCGCGCGAGCTGCGCGAAGACCGCGTTCGCGGCGGCCTGGAGGCAGACCTCGAGGAGCACCGACGGCAGCCGCGCGGCCCCGTCGTAGGCGCCGAAGAGGCCGTCGACGCAGCCGCCGAAGCAGAGCGCGAGGGCGGCGTAGGCGAAGGCGTACGCGCCGGCCTCGACGAGCGACGCGACGCGGGCGCGCAGCGTCGCGGCGAGCCGCCCGCGCCGGAAGACGGCGGCGAGCGCCTTGGCGGCGACGAGGCCGCAGACGCAGAGATAGACGACGTCGAACGTGTCCGAGCTCACCTCGAGTTCCACGTGCACGGGTTTCCGTCCGAAGAGGCCCATGATTCTGGCCGCCGAGTCGCAGCACAAGGGCAGCCCGGAAGATCGAGAGCCGAGCTCGAACTGCACACGCGCCGATGGAGCCGACCTCGATCAGTCAAACATCCTCCGTCATCGGCACAAGCATGGGCACGCCTCGTCGACCCGCGCCGTTTCGAGGGCTCGGCTAGACCGCGCCGCGTCCCCGCCGATAGCCACCATGCTCCGGACCGTCGCCCTCGTCGCGGCCCTGGCGCAGGCCTGGGTCCCGCGCCCGCGCGCGACCCCGAAACCGCTTTCCCACCGGAGACCGCACGCCCACCTGAGACCGCCGACGCGCCTCCGCGCCACGGTCGAGCGGTCCGAGTTCCTCTACGCGGCGGACATCGAGGCCCACAGCGCGACCCTCGCGTCGACGCTCGCGGCCTGCGGAATCGACGACACCGCGGAGATGGCGTCGTACGCGGACGCGCTCGAGGGCGAATCCGAGTACCTCCGCCCGAGCGGCCGCAAGGCCGTGCGCTACGCCGTCGAGGTCGCGTTCCTCGCCCACCGGGGCCAGAAGCGGCGGTCCGGCGAGCCCTTCGTGACCCACCCCGTCGAGGTCGCGAAGATCCTCGCGCGGACGCACATGGACCGCGACACCGTCGTCTCGGGCCTCCTCCACGACACCGTCGAGGACACGGACCTGACCTTTGGGGAGGTCGAGGCCATGTTCGGCGTCGACGTGCGGCGCATCGTCGAGGGCGAGACCAAGGTGTCGAAGCTGCCGAAGATGGCGCGCGATCTGCCCGCCGCGGACGCGGAGAAGGAGCAGGTCGAGAACATGCGGTCCATGTTCATCGCCATGGCCGAGGACTGGCGCATCGTCGTCGTCAAGCTCGCGGACCGGCTCCACAACATGCGGACGTTGCGGTTCATGCCCCCGCGGAAGCGCGCGAAGATCTCCCGCGAGACTTTGGAGATCTTCGCGCCCCTCGCGCACCGCCTCGGCATGTGGCAGTACAAGACGGAGCTCGAGGAGACGTCCTTCGAGCATTTGTTCCCCGCGGAGTACGCGGCTTTGGACGAGGCCATCGCGCGGAAGCGGACGACGGTCGAGGCCGCGCTCGAGGAGTGCCGGGCTGTGTGGAAATCAACCAGTGAGCTGGGACGTCGGGGCCAAACTTCAGAAATCTCTAGCTCGGTCAAATCGAAGTCGATTCGGCTGATTTTTGGACGAATCGATTGCTGTCGTCGAGTTCTCGAAGCACGGCGAAAGAGTCTGGTCCAGACCGTTCGATTACGCGCACATTGAAGTCGGGTTGAAGATTTGATTTCCACACAGGTGCCGGGGCAAGCTCGAGACGATGCTCATGGACGACGTCATGATCAAGGGGCGCATGCGCACGGTCTCCATCGAGGGGCGCACGAAGTCGTGCTACAGCACGTGGAAGAAGATGCAGCGCCAGCAGTGCGGCATCGAGCGCATCGACGACCTCGTCGCGTTGCGAGTGGTGTTGAAAGCGGAGCGGCCCGAGGCCGAGGCGGACACGTCGCTCTGCTACCACGTGCTGGGCAAGGTCCACTCGACCTGGACGCCCCTGCCTCGGACGCTCAAGGACTACATCTCCTCGCCCAAGCCCAACGGCTACCGGTCGCTCCACACGACGGTGCTCGTCGGCTCGCAGCCGTTGGAGGTCCAGATCCGCACCGACGACATGCACCGGGTGGCGGAGCTCGGCGCGGCGGCGCACTGGGCCTACAAGGACACGGACGCGTCGCTGCCCTGGCTCCAGATCATCCGCGAGTGGCACGCGCAGGTCGACAGCTCGAGCGTCTTCATGCAGCTCGTGCGCAACGAGCTGCTGGGCACGCGCGTCTTCGTCTTCGCGCCCCGGGGCCGCATCCTCAACCTCGCCAAGGGCGCGACGCTCGCCGACGCCGTGGCCCACGTCGTCTCCGAGGAGTCGCAGTCGGACCGCCGCGGCGCGTTGGCCTACGTCAACGGCCAGCGGGAGGACGCGGAGTACGAGCTCCGCAACGGCGACATCGTCTCCTTCGCGCCGCCCGTGGACCGGGCCGCGGAGATGCCCATCGTCGTCGAGCACACGGCCGTCGCGCCGTCGAACTGGACGCTCTGCTCGCGGTGCATGCCCGTGCCCGGCGACGCGGTCTTCGGCGCCGCGTACCGCCACGCCGCGCGGGGGACCGTGCACCGCAGCGACTGCGACTGCGACGCGCTCCGGCGCGAGCTCCAGCGGCCCGGGGCGCGTTTGGTCGACGGCGCGGCGCTCGCGATGAACGACGACGACGCGTCGGCCGTGTCGCGGGCCTTGGCGCGCGACCGCGCGGTCCGCGGCGCGGACGGCGAGATCGTCGGCTTCCAGTCGTCCATCGTCGTCTTCTGCCGGGACCGCACGCGCATGCTTTTAGACGTGTCCCTCGCGGTCTCCGCGGTGAACATCGTCGACGTCATGTCGGAGACGCGCGTGCCCCGCGGCCAGGCCGCGTTCCAGTACACGATCCACGTCGACGACGTCGACCACCTCAACGGCCTCCTCGCCGCGGTCCTCGAGATCCCCGACGTCACCGCCGTCGTCCGGGGCACCATGCGCGGCCTCAAGCGCAACGGCGCGAACGCGTTCTGGAGCCTCGGCGGCGACGACACGGGCGAGCGCCTCGACTAGCGCGCGCCCCTGTACATAACGCCCGTGCTTTCCTACGAGGGCGGCGGTAGGGTACCCTTGTCGACACACGACACTCTTACTGCGGGGTCCCGGCGCGCGGCTTCGTCGGCGTCCGGCGCCGGGTTCGGCGGCCGGACGCGTCATGCAGCGGCGGCGCGCGGGCTCTTCAGCAGTCGGCTTCGGGGAGCTTGACGTCGAGGGCGACTCCGGGGGCGATGTGCTTGAACATGCTCTCGACGCACGAACTCTCGGGGAAGTCGTCGCCCGCGGGGTCGTCGGGCTTCTCCGAGACCTCGAGCGCCCGGACGACGCCGTCGACGACGTAGGCCGCGTGGCGCCGCGTGCGCATGATCAGGCCCTTGTACGTCGGCCCCGGGTGGTCGAGGACCAGGCCGCAGGCGCGCGTGAACGCGCCCGTGGGGTCGCCGTAGAACTTGAGCAGCGAGCCGCCGACGGCCTCTTCGCCGCATCCCTGGTCCTTGCGCCACGCGGTCATCACCGCGCCGTCGTTGACGCAGTAGACGACGATCTCGTCGATCCCCTGGGCCTTGAGCGCGTCCTGCGCCGCGAGGTAGCCGGGGATCTGCACCGAGGATCAGGTGGGCGTGAAGGCGCCGGGGAGGCCCATGAGGATGACCTTCTTGCCCTTGACGTGCTCGGCGAGGTCGATCTTCGACGGCGGGAAGCCGAGGTCGAGCGTGACGCCGGCGGGGACCGTGTCGCCGGCTTTCAGCTGTGTCGCGGCCATCGCGGACATCGAGTTCACTTGCGGAGAGAAACTCTTGTCGACGTCCGCAGCACCGCCTCGCTTTTTCACACACGGGTGCACAAGTGGTTGCACGGCACCGTCAGCGCGCAAAAGCGCTGGGTCGGGCTGCCCGATGGCCGCGCGCCTGCATGGCCACGGCGACGGTGGCCCCGCCCCCCTGCTCCCGCTCGCTCATGGCCACGGCGACGGTGGCCCCGCCCCCCTGCTCCCGCTCGCGCGCCAGCCCGAAAAGCGCGACTGGCTCCGCGCGCTCCACGTCGCCGCCGTGCTCGCCATGGTCGCGCTCGTCGTCTCCGTCGTCTGCTGGTTGCAACTGGACGGGCGGCGCATGCGCCAGACGGAGGCCGACTGGCTCGAGGCGCTCGAGCTGCCGACGGTCGAGGAGCTCGACGCCCTCATCCCGAACCGGCACCACCTCTGGGCGCGGCCCTTTGGGGGCGTCTTCGGCAAGGGCCCCGGAAAAACCTTCACGCGGAACGCGTTCGGCCGCGACGTCCGGCGACTCCGGCTCCAGGGCGAGGCGACGTGGCCCGCGCTCTGCGCGCTCGACAGCGACAAGGACGGCCTGACGAACGGCGAGGAGCTCGGCGACCCCTGCTGCGGGTCCGCGCCCGCGTGGCAACGGAGCTGGAACCTGACGCACCCCGGGTGGAAGCAGCAGACCCTGACGGAGAAACAGCTCGCGGACGTGGGCCCGCGGCGGACGATCCGCAAGGGGTGGGGCCCCGCGCCGGCGAGCGGGGACTGCGACGCCCCGGGGGCCGCGGCGGCCCACGAGGCGCAGTTCCTGAAGTTCTACTACATGCGGCACGCGTCGGACCTCGTCGCGGGCGACTCGCAGCGGTCCCTCAAGTACCCGGCCTTCGCGCTCATCGTCTCGCTGCTCGCGCGCTGGGCCCGCGGCGGCGGCCTCCTCGAGGACCTCGGCCTCGCGGCGCCGCGGCCGGGCGGCGCGCCGCTGTCCCGGCGGACGAAGGCCGCCGTCGTCGTCGCGGCGTACCTCTGGACGGATCTGGTGGCGGGCCTGACGCATCTGACTTTCGACTTCGCGCCCTGGGACTATCCCGTCATCGGCGGCGTGGCGCGGGGCTTCCAGTTCCACCACGTTCACCCGACG